TCACAGATGTGCAACACCCACGGTGTGCAGGAGTTCACGGTACCTCACACATAAGCTCTGCTACAAGCGCAACCTTTTTGTTCTATTTAAGTACAAGCACATGTCAAAGGTTTGTAGTTTAAAAAAAAGTTAATATGCCAGAAAAACAAAACAAAAAAAGTTTAATTCGGTTGAGACCGCAGCAGCACGTCACACTTTGAAGGTTTTGGCTTTCTCATTTTTTGGTGATTTGTTTATCTAATCAAATTTTTTTGCATCATCAACTTAGAAATGAGCTGACGTGAATGGGGATCTCAGCATTTGATTAGTTTTGGGATTTTTCTGTTTAGAATAAAATGATTTTGTACAATTTGCAAGTCATAGTTATTATTTTTAGTCTGAGTGAATCAACATAAGAAAAACACATTTGGAAAAGTCACACTGAGTCATACTGCACCAACCTTTCTCCCCATGACATTTTCTATCAAATTTACAGAAAACATAGACACATTTTTTTATGGGAAACTTTTTTATCTATGTTTTTTTATGTTTTTTTCTGCAGCAGAGCTGGCTCACAAACAGATAAAGTGAGAAAATGCCAGAACAAAGCATTTTCTTCTGATGTGCAAAAACAACAAAGAGCAAAAAGAGTGCACGTGCTCACATGCACATTCAGGATATCTGCTGACTTTTGAGTCATGAGTTCTTCTGAACCTTCCACTTCTTCCACTATTTGGCCTGATATATTATTTGCCTGGTTCTCCATCATCTTTTTTTCCTGCACATGCTATCACCACATCATAATAAACGAGGCCGATTTAAATTGTGTTTGTGCACGTCAAAATTATGTAAGTGAATCCCTAAAAAAGTTGCGCAACCCATTTCCTGCTGTACTTACTGTACCCGTATCATATTTCTAAACTAAAGAGCCAATAATCAGCGGAGCCCGTTGAGCTATGAGCTGAAATGAGAAAAAGGAGACACGGAACAGGAAAAAAAAAAAAGAAATGAGAAAAAGCTATTTGGGAGCACTGAACACTGGAAACAGGAGACCTCCGGCCGAGTGCAGACTGCAGCACGACTCGGCAGAGACTGTAGACGAGGCAGGTTACCCGACACGCAGATCTATATAACGCAAGCTGAGGGCACCTTGGCGGAGGAACACGCCCAGACGCACACGCGTGTGGAGCAGAGGCATATTGTTAAAAGGATTATCTGCTTTGATCCATGCGATAAAGCCCCACATCAGCACAGCAGGCTGGAGGCTCACGCAGGACGCAACCAATACAGGAAGGTGGGATTTCCTATGCGGATGGAATCCCCCCCCCCCGATGGCTCATATTATGAAATACAAGAAAAAACAGAAGGGGCTCAGCTGGAGATCTTAACAATGCCTCGATCCCCCTGGCTGATTCTTTTGCTCCTGACCGTAAAAAAGGGCAAAGGTCGCTCGTTCATTCGAAAAGATTTTCCCCACCTCCTTTATTCCTCATTACCTAAGGAAACGGAACAACGCACAGGTTGTCCCGGCTTCCCCCGAACGTTGGTTCGCAGGCTTTATTTGTTGTTTGATTCCGTGAAGTGAAATTCCACGATGACATCACGAAACCCAACCGGGCCTTTGAAGTCCAGCCCCCGCTGAGATAAAGCCACCGACCGGCCGCTCTCCGCATTTTAGACATCGCTCTACACTGTATCATCTCTGCACAAACGCCTCTCTTTGTCTTTCTCACACAACTTTGCACACACACACACACACACACACAGACACACATCTCATCTCATTCGCTCATCCCCTGGAGGTAAGCGCTGTTCAAATACATCACACCACTGGCAAACACCACCCCCCCCCCACCCCTCCCCTGTGACCGCGACAGAGATGGATAAGGAAGAGGTGGACTGGGGAAACTAGCGGGGAAACACCGGAAAACCTGCGTGCGTGCGTGATCAACACGAGGAAGCAGAGATAAAAAAAAACCAGCCAGCGAGTCGATTCTGAAGTAAATAGGAAACACCACAGTGACCTTTGGGTCCACTCCCACTGGGTACTTCAGAGTTTGTCATAAGTTCTGCTATTGTGAGGGTTGGAGATCTTTTTTGTGTCTTTGTACGGATGTGTGGTTCTACGACGGACTGGGAACACACCGGTCTGAGAAACAAACTCTTTCAAACTTGAACTAAAACTCAGTCACAGAGGAGTTTAGAACTGGGAGTTAGTGAGCATCTTTACTTTGGAGAAAAGTGCCGTTTGGCGATGGTTTTTATGCTGTTATGATAGTTATTTTCAGCTTGATTGGAAGGTATAACGCTTTTTTAAGAGCCAAGATAAGCACAGTTGTCTTTCTTTTCAAGATCTTAGCATTTGAGAAGATTTGATGAGATTTGGACAAGTCGGGACACCACTCCCATGTCTGCAGCAGATAGGAGGCTACAGCTAGCAGGAGGTTAGCCGAGGTTAACTGGAAACAAGGAGCTCTCTTTACTTGCGTTGCCCTCAAATGGAACAACAGGTCATTCAGCTGAGTGCTGCCGTAGGATTTAGTCTGTTTTCTGTCTTTGATTAAAAAAAAAAGCAAAGCCCAGTTGGCAGGCTGACAGTAAACAGTTTAATCAACTTCCTGATTTTATAGCTAAAAAAGACAGACTGCCGAAAATGTTCAGCTGTCATTTTTCTTTTAAAGAATGTGTCAGAATTTTGAATAATATTTAGGCACTGTGTTGAATCCGGTTTTCTTTTCATTTTGATCAGTGTAAGAACTGTAAAGCGGAGGAAATCCGCTGCTGTGAAAATGTCCTGAATGCATCATTCAGGATTAAAGGTGAATCATCCAAAGGACCTGAGCCCCCCCCCCCCATCAGAGAAGCCAGTTTTCTTTTTAAACTGCTGACAACAAACCTCAAAGTCTCTTTGTATTCCAGTTGACTAATCGCCCATATTTTCAAAAGTAATCCAGACCTTTGATTTATCAAACCACAGGTCAGAGTTCAGCTTCCCTTCTTTGGCGCCTAGAAAACGATGGAAGTTTTATTTTTTTTAATCTCACGTTCTAAACGTGCATTTATTAACATGGAACTTTTTTTCCTACTGAGTTTAAAAGAACATCGATGAAAGCAATCTTATTTTTTAGATTTTCTTACATAAAAATAACATTTCTCATGTCTCTTTGTCCCATCATTTTCTGAACTAGTGTGATTATTTTAAATGCAGATTTGGTTATTTCTGCAATTAATTTAATTCAAACATGTAACATGGTGCATCTTTTCCCTGAGAGCAATTTCCAATGGTAAAATAATTCAGCACCCCGTCAGTGTATTGAACCGTTTGGCAAAGAGTTAAAAAAAAAGAAAAAAAAAGAATCAATGAATCTCTGTAGTGTGGTCAGAGTGGAGTTTGTTAAACACAAAATCAATAGTGATCTCCAGGACTGATTGTTGGTCCATTTGGGGGCGGTGCTTTCCAGCCCCCCTGCCACCGGACCCCCGTGCAGACACACAAAAAGAGGAAGCAGAGAAGAGTTTGTATTTTGTCATGTCTGTATTTTTGTCTCATTTCACAAAACATGTACAGGGGAAGGAAAAGCCTTTCAATAGAACCTGAGGTATTTTTGCATCAAGCAGCCTAAGGTATCAGGATTTTATTTTAAAAACTCATCTAAATTCAGTCTTCTTAGATGTGTTGCTATTTACACATAATAATAATAATAATAATAATAATAATAATAATAATAATAATAATAATAATAATAATAATAGTTTTATAACAACAGTTTAGCAAATGGGACAGCCTGCATCATCCTTGTTACATATCATAAATAATTCTAACAATGGTTCTTAAAAATATGGGGAGAAGGATGAGAAAACGGGAGGTTGCTGGAACCTCAGGGGGAACACAGGAAACTATTTGAACTTACTGTAGCTGCAGCAGCATAAGGTCAAAGGTCAGAGATCGCCAGAGAGTAAAGCTAATCAAGGGGTCAAAGGAAAAAAACACATTTTACACCATAAATAAATAACCATCTCGCACCAGGAGAGCACTTTTTTTCGTTCCTTCCAGGTTCCGAACACTGAGACCCCGATTGTTGTTCCTACTGTGTTATCCCGGGTTGAATCGAAGCTTTGGAAACGAAGAAACGGGGGCAAAAACAGAGCGAGAGCATGGGAACGTCGTGGACATGCATTGTGCTGATGTACCAGCAGCTGTGTACCCTGTGGTGGGCTCGGCTCACTGAAAGATCCCCTGAGAATGAACAAAAGGGCGCGTGTGGGGGCCTACGACGTGAGTTTAGAAGTGTAAGTGCATATGGGTGTGTGCGTGTGTGTGTGTGTGTGTGTCTGGCTTGGGTTTTGGTGGGAAGTGCTGTGACGATGACTGAAACTGGGGCTGGCTCGGAACTGACTGGTCTTTCCATCCTAAGCTAGTTGGAGAGCGTTTTCCTTTGTGTCGCTAGGCAAGCCGGGTGTGCGGCTACTCGGGCTTCCTCAGCACACGGTCAAAGAACCAAACAAAAACTGTAGTTTTTCTTAACGCTTGAGGCCAAATCCGTGAGTACCTGCCGCGGCGGGGCGGAGCCTAAACACAGATCCTGCTTTGTACACCTGAGGGGACGTTTGACACGTCCTCTGGAATACAAAACAAAGGCCAAACTTGGCTTTCGGAGTATCTCGTTGCCCGGATGTGAACAGTGGAAAGCAGAAAAAGTGCATTTCAAAGTCATTCATCGCTCCATTGAAACAAAAGGAACAGCACATATTGCTTGCTTGAATTTGTTGAATGTGTGTATTTGTATGAGTGTTGTGTTCATAAATACCATACAGCAAATAATAATAATAATAATAATAATAATTCAACAAAAAGAGAAAAGAAATAAATCCACAAAACATTATATTATTTCTCATTACCAGAATGAACCAATACAATAAATTAAAACTATAACTGAACAGAAGTCCATTAAAATCGCTATATATATTCATTTTGTATATATAGTATTTGTCTGTCGGTATTCAGCCTTTCGGGTGCATGCTCACTGGTGACCAGAGGTGGAGGGCTGGGTTCGGCTGGATGGGGGTTTTGGGGGAGCATCCCAGAGTCTCAGTCCCATCGTGCTGCTAACACTGGAAACGAGAGGGGGGCCAGAGTCGGGGGGGACGCACTGTGCTTTGGAGGGGGGGTACGCGCTGCCCACCGTCAGTTTGTTAAATGGCCAGAATGCCAGGGGGGATCCGTCTTGGTGGCGAACGCGGTTTAGTCCTTTCGGATCCCTTTGTGCTGTGGTGGTGGGGGGCGCTGCTGAGGGGGGGGGGGGTCCATTATTGTCGTCGGTGGCTGTTATACGCCGTCGGGGCGGACAAAGCCGTGCGTGCGTGGTTTTCGGAGCTTCTCTGGAGGCGGGGTGAAGCTTCGGGAGGAGACACGGGGCTTCAAATCACAAGCTATACACCCACTGAAGCACACTACGTTTGACCACAGGCAAGCAGGTGTGTCTAAACTCTGTCCGAATCAGGGGGACTTTATATATTAAGGATGCAACATGACATTTGCTCAGGACACAGTTTTCTTTTCGACCATGACAGAGTTTCATAAACATAAAGGAGTTTCAGTACCAACAGTCACACCCCCCCCCCTAAACCCAACCCCTCCCACCCGTCCCACCCGTCCCCACCCCCCCAGGCTTTTCTTCACCTTTCAGTCAGAGTTCAGGATGGCGGGCGAAGCGCCACACCCGAGGCCCCGCCTGTCTTTTCACATTGACTCTCGGCTTGCATGTGTCCTTCGGTCGGAGTCTTTAACACTGTCCAGCGGGCGAGCGGGCAGAGTCCTCCTCTGCTCCTCCGCTCCTCCGCTCCCACGTCTTCATTCCCGCGCCCCCCCTAACCAGGTCCATTTACGCTTCCAGGGGGCGGCGCGCGGCGTGTCCATTATCTGTCAGGACACCTCGATGATCTCCATGCTCCCCGAGAAGCTGGACTGCTTCCCGATCTTGCCCAGCTCCTCCCTGGACCTGGTCTCGGAGATGCCCTCCTCGAACTCCATCTGGCAGCTGCGGCGCTTGAACTGCTTCTCCGGGGCGGGGGGCGCCGGCGGGGACGAGGCGGCGTCGCGGTGCTCCCTCTGCGCCTGCGGGCCCGGCAGCTTCTCCCTCTGGGGCTTGTCTCGTAACCGCACGCCCTCGCTGCAGCCGAACGCCACGTAGGCCGAGCTGCTCCCGAACCTCAGCGACGACTCCCCGCCGCGCCCGTCCCCTCCCCCCAGCTCCATCTCGCCCTCCACGCCCTCCTCGGCCCCGAAGTGCCACGGGGCGTCCGTGGTGGGGGTGACGGGGGTGACGGGCGTGGTGGCCTGGACAGTGTCTCTGTGTTTGGTCCACATGGCGCCGGACCCCAGCGAGGGCAGGGAGGGCAGCGCCAGGAGCAGCGAGCCCTTCAGCTTCTCGTCCAGGCCGGGGCTCTTGTGGTCCAGCAGCAGGCTGAGGGACTGGGGGGGGTTGGTGGGCTGGGAGTGGATGGGCGAGCCGCTGTGCTTGTTTTTCCTCCTGGACCTGGACGAGCCACCGGACCGGTGGACCGCCTCCCCCCCGCAGAAGCCCAGCCCCCCGATGCTGCCGCCGCCGCCCGGCGAGGGGAACGGCGAATCGGAGCTGGGGCTGTCCAGGACGGGCGACGGGGAGCAGACGCCGTTGGAGGGGCTGGTTCCCGGGCTGTCCAGCTTGCAAAGCTTGGGGACGTCTTCGGAGTGGGCGGGCGCCAGGCCAGGGCAGCGGGGGCTGTTGGGGGAGTAGACGGACTTGATGTCCAGGGAGAAGGAGCGCTTGAGCCGGTTAGTGTCCATGATCCTCTCGGCGGAGAGGTGCAGGCCGTTGAAGCCCTGCTGGAGGGAGGTGGGCGAGGGCAGCTTGGGCTCCGGCGGGACGTGCGTTTCGGCCGCAGACGGGTCGTGGTGACCGTTCACCTCGAAACCCGAGACCCCGTTGACCTCGGAGTTTTGCTTGGTGTTGTTTTCAGAGTTCTTGTCGTCGGCGGTTAAAGCTTTGAGCAATCGCAGACCCTTCTCAAACTCCAGCAACTGACCCAGGAAGTTAAAGTTTGGGGATATGGACGGTCTCCTGTCCTTCACGAACCTGGAGGAAGGGAAAGAGTTGGACAAACTTAGCCGTGTAAAAGCCACTTAAGACAAAGTGTTGTCCTGCATGAGTCCTATCTGTGAGCAAAGTTTGGCAGCAGATCACATCGGAATAAGATATGCTGAGGGACCTTTTTTTTTTTAAGGGCAGTTATTCAATACGAGCGCACAATAACAGTTTTACTGCCGCACAATACATTATTTGGAGCAAAACGCTAAGCCTTTTGTGCAAAGTGTCACCTGGCAACCGGCTAACGATCCTAACACACAACTGGGGCAGGGAGCCGGCGTTTCTTTGTCAACGTCTTAGCTCGGCTGGAGGCCGGTGGGAGGAGCAGGCATACCTGTAGGCGTCATCTGACGACAAGCCCATTGTCTTCATGATGTATGCGATCGCAATGGTCGCTGAGCGAGAGATCCCAGCCAGGCAGTGCACAATGACTCTGCAGTTTGACACCTTTGCTTTGTCTGTTGGGGAGGGAAAAGGAACAACCGTGAGCGCTCGCAGAAGCCCGTTAGCCCTCTGACTGGTCTCGTCGGGACTGTTCTTGCTCAGATGAATACAGAGACTCATCTGAACGGACAAGTTTCGCCGCTTCTGTTACATAAGCTGCCCGTGAACGCTTGAGAGCAGACACGATGTGCTGATGACTTGTCTGGATTCACTCAGCGTTCTTTAACCCCCACCCCCCCAGTTAACATTGTTCTTGGTGCAGCTGAACCTCTCTGAATAAACTTGCTGTCGTGTCTTACCGATGAATTCGTTGGTTTTGTCCAGCCATGGAAGCAGCTTCTCGCAGTAATTGTCGTTTACGGGGATGCGCATGAAGTGGCTCTCGCTGATGAAATCTGGCTTGGGGCAGGTGTTGCTGGCATTCAGCACATAGGTGATGCTATTCTGAACCATCAGGTCCTACGGAGATAAAGTCAGAAGCAGTTTTAGGTTACGTACCTTCGCTTTAGTCATGCTAATGCTGAAAAAGAAAAATGAGGCATGCAAGAAGATGCTGAATGTGAGAAATAAATTGTACCTTGTTGAGGACGTCTTTCTGTGAACCCAGGTAGAGGTGTGGCAGGATGCGAGTGGGCCCTACATTAGCCACTGGCAAACAGGGCTGGGACAAGCTCATGGGCAGAGCATTGGCAGGCTTCCCTTCACACAGGCCGGGGAAACAGGAGGAGAAAGCAGCAAAGCCTCCTGCAGCGACAGGGGAGAAAACAAGAGACGGTTAGGTACACTGACGATTTTCCACCCAATAAAAAAAAAAAAAGCATACGGTAGATAATCTCCAAAGGTCCCCGTTAAGTCATAGGGAGGGCCGGACCCGCCATTAGCATGGCAGACACACAGTTCAGTAGACTTTCAGGGGTTGAATCCGGGCTGCGACGTCTGGGTCTGGCTTAGTGAAACAGAAGCAAAAGAGAGGCTCTGTGTGCTTCTGTGTGTGTCGGGTTAACTGCTGGGCGGCCAAGAATGCGCGTCTGGCCCTTTAAGAGGCAGGCGGCTCCGCTTCTGGCATATATGCATATGTGTGTGTGTGTGCGTGTGAGAGAGAGAGTGTGCGCCTCTGTTTCCTGCATGAGCTCATGTCCTGTAGCAGTGCATTGCGTCAGGCCGGGGGAATGAGAGAGGCCACAGGTGCAGGGCCAGGACAGAGGCCCAGTAACATCCCCCTGACAACCGAGCTGCACACGCATGCACGCAGACACTTAGGTGCACGCGTGTGCGGACACAATAGATAATCGCAAACACAACATATGCTAAAGATTCACTGTTTCCATCTTTAACTGTCTCTCTGCTCACACTCATCATTACTCTGCAGCGCTGTGGTTTTATAACTGCAGGGTGGGGGATTGGGTGAGGATTTGGGGGTGAGGTGTGGGTTTGTGTGTGTGTGTGTGTTGAGGAGCGGGTAATGACCTCGCTGAGAAAGCGCTGAAAAAGGGAGGGGAGTGCTTCAAGGAAATCTTGAGCCCCAGAAAGGAGATTAGAGCCTAATCCAGGTTCAGCCCTGCATGACCCAATCTGGGTCGTGGCTTGTTCACACCTAAAAACACACACACACACTCGCGCGCACACACGCACGCGCGCAATCGCTGAGTGAGAGTGAGTGAGACATGACATCACCCCTCTAAAGTAGCACGCAGAGCACAGAATGAGCAGGACAGTCCTCGCCGTTGTAACGCACACCCGGCTGCACACAACACACGACACGCTAACAGAGCAAACAGCGTGATCTGCGCACTCCACCGACATGACACCACGAGCAAACAGCGAGCCCAAAACAACAAGATCTGTGCAAATATTTGCGAGATAGGTGGCAGCTGGGGCTATTTGGAGCTGCTTCACAGAAGCCCCTGTTCCTAAAGAGGGAAACAGTGGGAGCATCATAACGACACAATGCAATTCTGGATGCACTGTCACTTTAAGAGCCGAGTGAAGAAGGCCTGTCTGTTTCCAGCTATTAATGGCAACCCGGCGGAGCGATGACATCAGTGCTCAACATGGGGGGTGGAGCAGAGAAAAAGGATAGATGCAGAAAGAATGATCAGATAACTTCCTCATTTTAGGAGGGAAAACCGAGGCTCGCCTTGCCGGCTTGACTCTGTAATCTAATCTTTTTGGGCTGTAGAGCTGACACACACGGGCAGCTGTAATTCACACTTGGCTTCGGGCCGTGCCGTGCAATTCCACTAGAGTGACTCTAATGCCCCTATGTGCAGGGTTAAGGCGCCATTAATGAATAAAACAGAGGGAGGAAAGGCTCCTTGAAGAGTTTCTTCCTGGTTTCTCTGTTCCCAGCCAGCTCCTGTTGGAGAGTTTGCAGACAAAGAAAGAAAAAGTGCTACGCTTAGTATTTACTTTATCTGTGTGAGGAAGAGAGGAAGAACTACACTCCTGGAGTTTTTTTTAATCGACAGGAAAGGCTGTACGTCACACAGCAACCATTTCCCTTTCTATGTGAGGACATTGTTAGAGAGTTGTTAGAAAGACTGACGACAGGATGTTCCACAGTGGAGACAGCATGTGTGTGTGTTTGTGTGTCCGACACTGGGGAGAAAGCGCGTTTGTGTGTGTGCAGCGAAGGGAAGTGAGCACAGGAATAAAAATATTCATTCGACCTTTGATCTGGTACCAATCTGGATTAATAATTACAGCAGCGATTACTGAGGCTGACCTCATCTTTGCGTTAAATAAACATTAAAGAGCCGAGCGTAACTGAGGGAGTGAGTAAGGGGTTGTGGGCATGACGGGAGATTGAAGTCAGAGATAAGAGAGCAGAACTGAGTGTGCTCGCCTGTTTTTTTTTAAGAACCATTACATTACACTGACATTACGTCAACGCAATTACAAACACCTTCCTTCAAATCAAAGCTTTTGGACGCTCTGAAGGACGTTTGCCACAGAGCACATAATGGTGGCACCTGCTCGGTCTCTATTTAAAGTTGCCATGACTACAAAGCAGGACGGTGATGTAGATGACAGTTGGCAGGACTTGTCGCCTTGAGAGTTTTTGGGATGGAATAAAAAAGGACGGAAAAAGGACCGATGAGTATCCCAAAAAAAGCCCAAAGACGTATGAAGTCCTCCCCCCCCCCATAAAAAGAAAAAAGATGACACATCTGTTAGTTCTAATCTAAACACACTGTAGACTCAGGCTGAGGTCACCGAAAATACCCCGTGACACACAGCAGCCTGGCTGTCCATGAGGATGACATCAGGAAGTCAAAAATGGAGAGATTATTTTACCCTTAATGAAGCATGACATTAAGCAAAGAAAAAATAAACCCACTAAATACAACAGATAAGCCTCTTCTTCTGAATTTTACCCAAAGCAACCACAAAGAAAAACAAAAATAAATACAAATGTTCTCTGTGGAACAAAGATAAGAGCTTGTGCAGGGATTAAAAGTAATTTCCAGTCACACGCTGAAGTCATGAAAATGTACTTGGACAGGATGTGACTAACCCAGTTCTGAAGACACAATTTAAAACAGTGAAAAATGCGGAGGCAAAAAATGAAAACACAGACTTGCAGGAAAGAGGGCACTGTGTCGCCATCGGCGAGGCTCGCCAGCAGTGACTTCCTTTTTCCGTTCTTCTCTGCCCACTTCGTCATTTATGCAACTGCTTATTTTCCTCCCCGGCCCCGTCAGCGAGCCGGAGCTCAGGCCCTCTTTGTTCGGCGGTTGTGAATCCCCCTCTTCATCACTCGTTTCCTACACCTCACCCAATGCCCAACATTTTAGTTTGAATTTGCTGATTGAATTCAGACGTTTCAGAGTGCTGCTGCTGCTGGGGGGGTGGGGGGGGGATTTGCAATCACTAACCAGAGATGGACAAAACACCTGCCTGGCTGTTGTGCTTAATGGGAGTTCTGCTCTTAGATCACTGCTGTTGGTACAATTGTCTGCCTTGTCAATACAACGCACCCCTCCCCTTGTGTGTGTGTTGGTGTGTGTGTGTGCACTCCAGCCTCTGTGGCTTCCAGTTCCCCTCTTTAACTCGTTTGTTAATGGAGGAGGGGGAGGAGGAGGCACAAAGAAGAGTATACATACACATATACAGGACCCTCGGTGGCCTGGGGGATTGATCTGCCCCAGTGACCGGCTACCCCGCGTCCCTCTGCCGCTTTCCCTCTGTGGTTCGTGTCAGGGGAGACATGACGCCATCGCTCTGCGCCCCCTCCAGCTGTCCCCTCCGCTACGAGGGTACATTAGCATCTCAATGTGAGCCCCCTCACCCTCCCCAAATGACATCATTGCACACATGTCCCTCTCGGCCCCACAAAGGCTGTGCTGCAGCCAGGAGAGGACGGGAGAGAATGCATGTGTGTGTGTGTGTGTGTGTGTGTGTGTGTTTGAGTGGCTGCTCCACATCTGTCAGAAATGTGTAGAGTGACAGAATACTGATGAGCTGGAGGGATGATGTCATTGCTTTTTGTGCTGTGTCTCGGCTCGGTCATACTGCCCCTGAGAGCCAAAGTGCTTATTGTTCCTCTTTTGGAGTGGACAGGTAGCAGGAATATGTCACTTTGATGGGCTGCTGCTTCAGCAGCGCCGTGCTACTGTAATGCATGACCATAAACCCTCCTATAATTTCGACCCGCTTTCACAAGTCCGTTTCCACAGTGATGTGTTAAAGGGGCCTCAGTACCTGTGACACGCACGTCTATTTTCATCTGATGATGGTTGTTGTGTGACTGGAACACAACAAAGCCTCTCTGTGCAGGGACAAGCCGGACCTGCACATGTGCGCTCAGTGTGAGGACTTTCTGAGCTCATTGCTTTCAACCAGATCTCTGAGACCGTGTGCACATAGCATCGATGCTCGCAGTACAGATTTGTTCGCGTTTCATCCAAAACGCGCGATTCGGAGCTGTTGCTTTTGCCCCCCCCCGTATCCTCGCTCTGCATTGGTTCGCCGCTCTGTGTGAAAAGGTGTTTTGTTAAACACCTGCAGTGCTCTCTGCACACATATTGATAACATAATCTCCACAAGACACCATTCTGCAGAGGCACAGTGAGCCGGAGTGAGTGCAAAAAGCCAAGAGCGAGGCGCAAGAATGAGAAAGAGCCTTTGTAATAGTTTTACATCTCAATGCCCACAGGCTGAGAGAGCATGAGCACTATGTCATACTGCGGGTCACAGCTCTGATTCCCCCCTAACCGAGCGCCTTTTCTCTCCTCTCTTTCCTCTTCACCGCTTCTCATCTTCATGATGTCATCCTTCGAATCCCCCCCACCCCCCCACCCCCCCTTCTTCTTCCTATTCTGGTTCTCTAAACACATTAACTACACAAACAAAAGGGTGAGAAAACAATTAACAGTTTTGGCTTGGGATCCTGCGGCGTATTCTCTTAGACTGCTGTAGCGGTAAATCTAGCTATTGATCTGGTTCATACACTTAAGATTCCTTTCACATCTATCTTTCATTTGCAGCAAGCATGGACTGGAATACCTGACAGTTTGTGGTGTCTTTGTACTCACCTGCAGTGCAAAAACATTGCCTGGGGTTTTCCCCTAATAGTCTATTCCTCCACAAAGCATCAAAGTATTTTACAACCCGCCTGCTATAGGGACACTTTTACACTTTTAACTCCTCACTATCTGTTGGACTTAAACGTTTGGCTTTCCCACCCCCCTTCTGCATGTACATCACACTTCCAGACCTTCTTCCTAGAAATGATGCTCATTAAAAAAAAAAAATCAGCTTCTGGTTTTGTTAACGTACTGTATCTGGCAGGTAGATACACACCTCGGAGTTCTCTCCCCTCCTTCATCCGGCGGACCCTGATCTTCAGCCTCATGTCTGTGTCCTGCAGGTCTGGCCAAAAGCAGTCCTCTGCTGGGGCGATCACCACATCCAGAGGCATCCCCCAGTGCAAACCAGGACTCGCACGCACACAAATGTTCTGGGGCTCCTTCCTTTGGGGACGGAGCAACCCCCCCCCGCGCCGATCGAAAAATATCAGCAAAAGTTTCTGACGGAGGCGAGACCTCCGGCCAAGCGTCCACAAAGTCTGCCAAAGTCCACTCCGGTCAAATGAGCTGCCTCTGTGTCCAGGCAGTGACTCTCACAGAGCGGACCCCAGACGACAACAACAAAACAGAAGAAAAAAAAACAGTCCGAATGTCTGTGGACACACTCCTCAAGCCAACATATGGACCAAATCCAATGCAATAACCACAAAAATGCTTAGAATGCTCCTGCCTCAATATGTGGCAATTTTGTGGTTTCGTGAGGTTCGGTGGCCTCGGAGAGAAAGAGGGAAAACAAAAGTGAGCAGCCTGTAACGCCTGTGCGTAAAGGCCAGCTGTGATCTGCCTGCAGCTGGTTCACAGAGCGTCTGTGTGTTCCTCTGAGCGCTCTCTCTGTCTCTGTGAGTCCGCAGCTACAGGAGCAGCCCACTATTGTTGTGCTGCCGCGCGCTCCTCGTCTCCCATTGGCTCAGCCGCCTGCTCACGCTCCTCCCTCGCCCGCCCTCCTCTGACTCTCTCTGCAAAGAGGATGACGGAGCTGCACTCTCTCCTCGAGCTCAGGGGCTGAATGAGCTCACTTGCCGTGAGCTCAGACCCTAGCCAACCTCCCTCCCTCCCTCTCTCTCTCTCCCTCCCTCCCTCCCTCCTCCCCCTCGCTGCCTCCCTCTCTTGTGGAGCCGGCTCTCCGTCATAGCTAATGTCTAAGGCACGTAACCACATTCCTTACTCACCCAACAAATATGCGGCCACCTCAGGGGCCTAGAGATGAAGCTGGCCTCTATCGGGGAAGAACAGAGGCCGAGGCCGAGCTACCGAGCAGTAAGCGAATGCGCACACACCTAGAACCGCTGTCACCAAGCCTCCATCACAAAGAAGGAGAAGAAACAAAGGTCTTGCCTGCTCAAAGAGGTGTGTGTTCATATGCAGTACAATACAGCACAGAGGGACGGAAGATTTCTGCCTCTGACGGTTGAAAGGTTGGTATTTGTGCATAAGATGAGGAATTAGTAAATCTAATTGAATCATGTGCTCGCCCTTAAAGGATAGAGCCTGCCCTGTTTATGAACTTCAGTGTTTATTGGACAGCTGCTTCTATGTTGGATTGAGTACCTTAAATGCACTGAAACCCCTAAAGACTTTAAGTTACAGGATGGGGGATTAAGACTGTGTCACGGTGTTGACAGCTGCTGGGTCTGAAGATGAGGGAATGCGCCTGCATCCACAGACATTTCCGGTCCCGGTTAATGCCATACCTGCCTGCAGACCCTTCTCATCTTGGAGGATCTAAAGGCGGAGAGGACAGGAGAGCGCGGCGAGGGTAAAGAAAAAATGGAATAAAAACAGACAAATGAGGACGAGAAGGCCAAACAATTGATCTGTTTGTGGTTGACAGCATTGTTCGTTTGACAGACTGCAGACTCCTTGTACTTTTACCATGGAACGGAAAACATGTAGGTCACGAGTCTCATTATGGGATAAAAAAACTACTATAGGAAAAAAAAAAGACCCAGGGAGATGGAATGTATATGAAAAAAAACATTCAAACCAGGTCAGATGGACCTCAAGCTCAGCTCCCAAAAAAAAAGAAAAAAAAAGAAAAAGGCAAATAAGCTTATACAAGATGTCTAGTGTGGGGAGCAGCTGCATGCTGGCTGACCTCATCGCATCACTGTGGACCCCTGAATGACTGCGCATGAGTGAGAACACAGCCTTACGTCACCCTCTGTTCAACGGCTGGAGGAGAGGCGAGAGGAAATAGGTCACTTTGCCTATGATGAGATTGGAACAAAAGCAGATATTGGTTTTGGGAAGGTTTCAAGCTATGAGCGAACACACGCACGCACACACACACTGCTAGATTTGCCCTTGCATTACGCACTCTTGCACATATTGGCGACGCGCGGCTGGTCGGGGCGGGAGTGGCACTCCACAGTGGTCGACGGGGGTCACTGCACTTCAAACACGCTCGTCAATCACCCCCGTTTGATCTGCGCCTAAAATTAGTCGTTCGGTCTTTGTGGCTCTGAGCCATATAGCGGCTTTGAAACGCACAACTTCCTCACTCCTGCAAACCCGCATAGGTAGAAGCCAAGAGCAACAAAACAAAACAGCCTCTGGATGTTGTTTTAATGCTCAAACCCTTTTTGAGTTCCGAAAGCAAACACCGTGCCCCCCTCCCCTTTATCCCCTTCTCCCCCCTCCTCTAGTCCTCGGCAGGGTAACAAGGCTCAGAATAGTAGGTGTGTTAATTAGAGGATTACAGCCAAGATGCTATAAATGACAGTCGAGCCTTTTTTATTGACTGCACATGTGTGGCCTGCTGTGACAGAAATAGGTGGGACAGTCACTCATAGCACCCCCCTCCTCAAAGATTCCCCCTCAGATTTAGAGTATGCTTTTAAGATTCGGTGCTTGTTGCTGGGGCAACGGATCGGTTTACACACACGTAAACACACACAGAGGATGCGAGCGGTGGGGATGAAATGTGCAGGTTAAAAAGTGGGGCTGAGTGAAGGCGGGGGGGGGGGGGGGGGGGGGCTGGAGACCTATTCTGACTGCTCCCGTGAACCTGAAACTTCACAAAAGGTTATGCGATGATCCAAAGAGAGAATCTGCTTTAGAAGCCGGGAAAAGAAGCTTAAGGCTGTCTGGAGGTGTGAACCCACTTGTGAGGTGTGCAGGTAGCTCGACGGCCCCTCGTGTCCACGCTCCCAGACTTTGATTGTTTACAGTCACGGGTTGTTCGTTCCACACAGTTGTTTCTCTCACAGGGACGGCAGATTTATTAGGACGTGTTTGGGGAGTTTGTTCTCGAGTAATGCAACCACGGGCGCTTCTTGAGAAGTCATTTGAAAATCACTGTCTTCATCTAACTGACGATGAGACCAACTGACATGTTCAAAATGTTAGCAATGATTACGACATTTCACATGTCTGCACGTCTGCTGAGACACATTTTGTTTCTCAGCTCCTGTTGCACATTTCCGGTTATACTGATTTGCGGTCTTTTTAAGAAAAGGCTATTCTTTCTCCCCATTTCCAACCCCCCCAAAATTTCTATGTCAACTTGATAGTATAGAAATTTTTCTCTTTCGTTTAATGGGGTTTGATGACCCCCCAAACCCCCCCATCCACCCCCCCCCTTCCTCCCACAGAGACAGGCAGCAACAGGAGTGTCATCCTACACCGCAGATCATCTGTCAAGATATCACAGGAAAGAGAGACGTCATTCTCTGGATAGGGCAGGTTAATGTGATGAGTTTATGTGTGGGTTTAGCTCTGGGTGTTTGTGTGCGCGCACATGTGTGAGGAGAAAGCGCGGTGCAAAGGTGAGAGGAAGGCAGAGAGGACATTGCAGCAGGGGTGAGGGACACGGCCGACAGTTATTTACTCCAAATACATACAAGCATTAAGGGCCTGTGCACAAGTGTGTGAGTGTGTGTTGATAGTGCTGGTTGTCAGGGGATCAGTAACAAGACTGCTCTCGCAGTGATGTAATGCCTACAGGAGAACACAGCTGCCATGCCTGGGGGGTGAGGTAGTCACCAGGGGAGGACGGATGGAGCAAAAGGGGGTGGGGGAGGTGCTAAAGGGGAAGTGGGGGGGAGGATTAGGGTGGTTGGAGGAAAAGGGGGTGCTTGGATCGATGGGGACCATCTGAAATGATGCAGATTTTACTGGAGCTGTGGGATTCACACAACAATATCTGTGTCACAACATGTGCGATTTGCAATGAGCCAACCACAGAGACCCGCTGATGCAAACAGCCTCATAAAAGCAAGTTGATGAAATACTTACTCATTTAAAATATCCATTTTCAAAGTTGCTTTTAACAGAATTACTTTCTGAAATAAAAATAAATGGCAATATAACGGATTTCTGGACATCTGATGTTAAACATCCTACATATTTATATATATATATATATATATACATATAAACATACTTATCCTAATATATAAATAGTACTTATGAGAACTACTATGTTTATGTGACGACTTGAAAGTGAAAACCTGCAGGACAACGGATCTAGAATGAGGCGCTGTCCCTCAGATGTAGATATCAGGAGGAATTGTGCATATTTTAAAGGGGCATAGATGCACTTCTTGGTTGTGTGCGTGTTTCATGCATGAGGTCGCTTAATCTCTATCTCCACAGCCTGAAGGAAGGCTTCCTCACATTAGTCATCCAACAGACCCCCCACCTTCCAAACAACTTAACTGCCTCGAGAAGCTCAGCATCCCAGGCTTCTGCACTGGAAAATGTTTTTTAAACATCTCACTCACACACACACACATACACACAAAGGGGGGGACTGGTTGGCTATCAAATGGTCCAAGGGGGGCTTTCAGGACCAGACGGGCCTTCATAAAACCAATGAACTACTTAAAAAACCCAGTTGGAGGTAATCAGAGCTGTCTGTGCGCGTGTTGATGTGTGGAGACAAACGGGGCCGTTATGGCTCAATATGAAACACTGCCACAGGCACGGGCGTACCGTGTGTTTGCACTCATGAGTATCCTGAGCGTTCACTTCATGTGCACGTGTTAGGTGGACGCTAATTTAAGCCGAGACTGCAGCAGTTTGTTTTCCGTGGTATTCTATGAGCAGGTACCGTGTTTGTGATAGCCAAAAAAGGCCGAATACCTGTATTAGTTTGCAGCAATAAAAGTATGAAGATTGTGTGCTAAAATAGAGAGCATTCCTCGCCGTGCTGATTTCCCCTGAGGTGTGTTTGTATACACAGGTTTGCCTGAGCAGAACAGGGGGGTATTTCATTCTAAATGCAAATGTCCTGGGCTGAGATGAGCAGGGTTTCCATGGGGAACTCTAAAAGCAATAAACACGCCTCACTTTTTTTGGCATGCGGGGCAGTCTGACACATGTGGCGATGGCGCACTAATCACAATGCTCTGACAGAGGGAGCTGACGGCAGATCAGTTTAATGAGATTGTGTTGCTTCCAGCGGACTTATGGGCCGGTCTCAGATCAGCTGAGTGTTAATTAGCTCCTCTCGGTGTCACAGGCAGGCTGAGACACATGCAGTCCTCACAGCAGTGGTGGAAGCTGCCGTTCTTCTGCTGGTTGAATATCCTTTCCTTTCATGTCTACCCGTGTCAAAATGAGCTAAGACGGTGTCAGTTAGTAACGGGCTGTCTATTTGCAGGAAATGTGCTCAATATTCACCACAACAAGTCATTGGCATAACTTTAGTTTTTCCTCAGACTTGAAATGAAAATCCTTGGTTGAAAAAAGAAAATTGTCGCTTATATTCCTGTGACACACAATTTCCTGAAATTAAAGGTGGTACATTTTTATGTCTGTTCTTTACAGGCGTGGAACAAAAAAACGTTGCTTAATGGTTTCAAGACAGTCCACCTGGACTTTTAGTCTTTTCCTCTAACACACAGATATGCAACAAATGAAAGCTCTTCCATCCAGAGACTGAATTTGAGCATAGAAGACATGATGACAGCTGCCATCATAGTACCCGGGGCCAAATGCCATGTAAATTGTGTGTGTGTGTGTGTGAGAATGTGTCATATCCACAACGCTGCAGTG